GAGTCCCGCATCAGGCTCTCTGCTCAGGGGGGAGCCTGCTTCCTCCTCTCTCTGCCTGCCTCTCTGCCTGCTTGTGATCTCTGTCAAATAAATAAAATCTTTTTTTTTTAAAAAGTGATTTCTACCTGAAATCAGGTAAATCTGCAGGTAATGGAATAGTATTTCTACTGTTGTTTTGAAGTATCTTCAGAAGGCAGGAAGTGAACCAAATTATTATTCTAAGTCATTAAATGAGTTATTATGAATGACCCTTGTTATCACAGATCCTTTATTTAAATAATTTTTTCTTTTCCCTCTAACAATATTTATGGATGGATGCTTTTTCCCTTTTTTTTTTTTTTGGCGTAGTTAGCCTTTAGACAGATTTGTTGGGATAAGTATAACTATAAGTCTGTGACATTTATTATCTACATAAGGTCTGATAATTTTGGCCATTTTCACATAATTGAGAGTAAAATATTTTGTGTTTCAAATGGAATGTTTCTGAATTCATTGAAAAATAAATATTGAAAAATATAGATTTGATTACTCCTGTAATATCAGTATAGTCTACATGGCTTTTTTTTTTTTTTTTTTGGTAGTTCTGCTTGTTAAAAACCATGATAGAAGAAAATGTAATAAATAGTTGCCTTTTTAATTTCTTCGATTTAAAATAACTAGTTACTTCCTATGGAGGAAACTACATTTTCTTTTGTCATTTAGGGCAGTGGAAAATAAATGCCTGATGGGCTGAAGGCTCCCGCATGCATCCCCTCGCACCACATGATCCCCTTTCCCACCCTGACCCTTTGCGGACGCCAAGTCCATTTGCTCATCAAACACATGTCTAGGGGCGCCTGGGTGGCTCAGTGGGTTAAGCCTCTGCCTTAACCCACTGTCCTGGGATTGAGCCCTGCATCGGGCTCTCTGCTCAGCAGGGAGCCTGCTTCCCCCTCTCTCTGCCTGCCTCTCTGCCTACTTGTGATCTCTCTCTGTGTGTGTGTGTGTGTGTGTGTGTGTGTGTGTGTGTGTGTGTCAAATAAATAAATAATCTTTAAAAAAAACAACAACTTGATTTTGATGTTCTGAATGAAGGAAAGACAACCCCTGTCCTCAAGAAGTTCACCTTTAGTAGGGAAGACAGAAATTCGGTAGATGATACAGTATCAGTAGAGGATTAAAGGTGTTGAGAGGAAGTGAGGTTGGATCAGATATGAGCGGGAGTGATGCAAGCAGCAGTGTAGACCAATTGGTATGAAACAACCTGATTGGAGGAATTACAAATTTCCAGGTTGCTTGATTAAGTGGCAAAAGATAAGGCCTTCAGAGACTTTAAGGAGATTGGATATTATCCTCTCAAGTATCTTATAAAATTGGGTTTCTAACAGAGCTCTTAAATTTGGCCCTAAGAGCAAAAGATTTGAGTGTCTTGTCTTTTTTTTACCTTGCTTTGTGGTTGAAAAGGAGGGGAGGAAGGAAAGAGGAAAGGAAAGGGAAAGGAAGGTGGGGAAAAAATGTGGGAGAAAGGGTACAAGACCGTTGTTACTCTCAGGAAGCTCAGATAGTGAAGAAAACAGCCATATGAGGTAAGAAGTAGGATACACAGAAGAATAATAGCTGACCATTTGCAATTGAGAAAAACTCTTCCTTGAATTTTAATAGTAATTTTATTTAAATTTATCTCATACGGGTGCCTGGCTGGCTTAGTTAGAGAAATGTGCGACTCTTGATCTCAGGGTTATGAGTTCAAACCCCGTATTGGGTGTAGATTACTTAAATAAACTTTAAAAAAAAGTTCTGGCATAACGTTTTGGATCTGTCCAGCAATTTAGGCCAGTTCCAACAGAGAAGGATCTGAGGCCCAGAGAAATTGTGTGATTTGCCCGAAGTTCTAGAACCAGAACCTAATAGGAATCTTAACAAAGATTCTATACTTTTTATTGTGTAATTCCATTCTGGAGTATTCCTGGTAACAGACTAAGGAAGTAACTATAGTTAGCAAACTGTTAGAAAGCTGTTATGTTGAACCCACACTTAATCTGATCAGGAAGCTAATAAACCAGTATGTTTATCGCTCCTTTGTTTTCAAAGCCTTAAAGTAGCTAACACGTTTTCTCTTTTGTAGGTTAAAAATTCCTGTTTACTTAGTTGCCCTACATATTATATACTCTTCAGTGTTCTGGTTACCCTTCTTTATATAGTCTCATGGAATAGATTGATTGGTAGATGGTACGCAGAAATTATACCATTATTTTAGTTGCTTTCCCACCAGCATGGATAAACTAGAATTACTAGGCCTGCAATTTCAGAACCTGTACATTACCTACTAGAGATTACCTGGGTGGCTCAGTGTCTTAAGCCTCTGCCTTCTGCTCAGGTCATGATCTCAGGGTCCTGGGATGGAGCCCCACATCAGTCTCTCTGCTCAGCAGGGAGCCTGCTTCCCCGTCTCTCTCTGCCTGCCTCTCTGCCTACTTGTGATTTCTCTCTCTCATGTAAATAAATTTCTTTAAAAAAAAAAAAAAAAAAGATTTCAAACTCCCTCTTCTGGATACTTTCCTTACCCGGTTACATGTCCCATTTTCCTTGATCCTAAATAATGCAGAATATAGTCAAAATTCTGTTTTTCATAGTATCTATCACTTAAAATCTTTGTTAAAACATAATAGGCATTTAATTATCAGCCCCCCAGTAGTCTTTTTTAATAGAAAATATTTTATTCTTTTTAATTGTGGTAAAATCACATGAAATTTACCATCTTAACCATTTTTAAGTTTTCAGGTCTATAATGTTGAATACATTCACACTGTTGTGCACCCAATTTCCAGAACTTTTTCTCTTGCAAATTGAAACTATATATGTCGTTGACTCACTATCCCCTTCTCCCTAGCATCCACCATTCTTTATTTTTTTTTTAAGATTTGATTTATTTATTTGACAGAAATCACAAGTGGGCAGAGAAGGGGGGGAAGCAGGCTCCCTGCTGAGCAGAGAGCCTGATGCGGGGCTCAATTCCAGGACCCTGGGATCTTGACCTGAGCTGAAGGCAGAGGCTTAACCCACCGAGCCACCCAGGTGCCCCCATTCTTTTTTTTAATTTATTTTATTTATTTTTATTTCTTTATTTTTAAGAGACAGAACATAAGCGGGGGAGGGGCAGAGGGAGAAGTGACTCCCACTGAACAAGGGACCCCAGTGTGGCCCTCCATCCCAGCACCCTGCAAGGCAGATGCTTAACAGACTGAGCCACCCAAGTGCCCCTGACCACCCACCCACCCTTCCTCCCTCCCTCCCTTCCCTCCTTTCTCTTTTGTTGTCTTTTTAAACCCTTTTTTAAGATTTTATTTATTTATTTGACAGAGAGAGAAGCAGGGGAAGTGGCAGGCAGAGGGAGAAGCGGGCTCTTCACTGAGCAGGAAGTCCCATGAGGGGCTCGATCTCAGGACTCAGGCATCATGACTTGAGCCAAAGACAGCAGACACTTAACCAACTGAGCCACCCAGGCACCCCTCTTTGTTTCTTTTTTTAAAGATTTTATGTATTCGAGAGAGAGTGCATGCACAGGCGGGCGTGGGGGATATCTCAAACAGACTCTGCTGTGGGACTCACTCTCCAGACCCTGAGATCACGATCTGAGCCGGAACCAAGAGTCAGACACTTACCCGAATGAGCCACCCAGGCACCCCAGGTTTTATTTTAAGTAGTCTCTACACCTAACCGGCCGGGGGGGGTGCTCAAACTCAAAATCCCTAGATCAGGAGTGCCTGCTGTACCAACTGAGCCAGCCAGGCGCCCCCACCATTGTTTCTGTCTCTGAACTTGACTGCTCTAGATGTCTCATGTAAGTGGAATTAATGGTCATGTTTTTAAAATCAACTTTCCTAATACATCGGTATCATTTGTTTATAAAACCAACTGCTTTTAACAAAACATATGTAGAGCGCATTTTATAGTTTTGCACCTGAAGTTACTGAGGTAGTACAATGAAAAGATTAATTCCTTGCTGGTAGACCAAAGAAAAACAGAAGGCAAAAACCCTTAAGAGCCTGTCTTTCTTCTCCTATGCCAAGTGTATGGCTGTACCCAATTGTATGTATGCTTGATCTGAGCTTCCTGTCTTTGGATATAAATGGTGTCTTAATCTATAAAATCAACAATATTCCTCTCTCAGGCTTAAGGGTAGTTGATGGCATGTTTCTTTTAATGATTTCAGTTCACTTACTCAGTATCTAAATGGTACAGTACCTCAAAGGCTCTTTTGGAAAAGCCAGCCTATTTGGATACTAACAGGGAAGCTTTTATGTTATCTCAGAGGAATTTTAAACTTTTAGAGTGTGAAGTAGGAAAATGGAAATTAAGATTCGTTGAAGTTGTTAAAGATGCCTTAACTAGTAGGAAGTACTTAAAATCATTGAGTCAAGTAGATACATAAATTTATGAGACTTTCATATTTTTCTTAATTACAGACCATTTTAATAAAAAGCATCCTCTGAACGGATCAGTTATTTGTTTTTTCTATGTAATGCTAAATCTGCTGTCACCATAATTTGTATATTATAATGTAACTTACATTTAAAAATCACTGCCTTAAAAAAACCACAGTAATAATTTTATCAGGTATACATGTGTATGTGTGTATAGCACTAAGAATAAAAATGTAAAGCATTTATAGTTTTTGTTGGTGCACATGGGATATTTTTGTGTCACTTATGAATATATGTGGTTGTTTGGCTCATTTTGCTGTTTAACTATGTTTTGGGAGGTGGGAGGTTTTGAGGGAGAGAATAGTATTTGAGCTATCATTGAAATGAGCAGTAGGAGAATGGTTGTTTGAAATACTTTTGGTTTCAACTTTTCTATAACAACATGTGAAGGGTTTTTTGGCTGAGGTGGGGGCTTGTTGAAAAATAATTTTCACAGAGCTAGTTCTAATTTTGTTTATGAAATAGGAATGTGTGTTCTAATATCATAGAAAAGTCCTACATTTTTATGATCTTAATTAGAGTCTCTTCTTTCTACAGAAATAGGAAGGTCGTTGATTATTCACAGTTTCAGGAATCTGATGATGCTGGTAAGTTTCATGATTTTAATAAGTTGTAAATTATGTCAGGATCTGTCACCCAAAACAAAAGTTGAACTTGCATGAATTTTAGCTTTCCTTAGTAAGTCATTGATAATAAATACTTAAATAATTTTTTTCTTATCTGGTTTTGGATTCCACAGTTTAAATATGTAGTAATTCTGATGCAGTATTTATTAGATGATAATGTCCCCATCTATAATCACAGCAAAACTTTTTACCTTCTATTAGTTTAAGTTTTTTGCATAATAAAGTAGCTAAGATGAAAGTATTTTCTAAAACATCTTGGATTGTGAACTAATTTATCATGGAATGAATAGTATGTGTTTCTTTTTTTTTTTTTTAAGATTTTATTTATTTATTTGTCAGAAAGAGAGAGCATAAGCTGGGGGAGTGGCTGGTAGAGGGAGAAGCACGCTCCCCACTAAGCAGCAAGTCCGAAGTGGGACTCGATCCCAGGACTCTGGGATCATGACCTGAGCCAAAGACAGATGGTTAATCAACAGAGCCACCCAGGCATCCCTGAGTAGTATGTCTTAAAACTTAGCCATAAAAGTTTACTTTAGAATATGTCCTTACTATCGTTATTTTCCAGATGCATTTGCTATTCTTTTTTTTTTTTTTTAATCCAATTTTACTTGTAAAAGTAATATGTGCACTTTGGGAAAACTTAGAAAATGCAGAAATGTAAAAAAGAGTAATAACATATAATCCAACCTCCCAGAAGAAATACTAACCCTTATTAAACGCTGCTAAACTACTAGCAGTTACTCATTTAATCCTTAGTAGAGCAATCCTGTTAGAATGGGGAATACTGTTACTGCTTACAGATAAGGAAATTGAGGCAGAGATATTATGCAAGGTCCCTTGGTTAGCAAATGGCCATTTTAGCCTTTTTGTTTAAAAAGCCTGTGTCTTTTCTCCCTTTTAAAAATGTAGTTGAAGTCTTGCTATAGAATTTTGGGTTCTGGGGGCACCTGGTTGTCTCAGTGGGTTAAGCCTCTTCCTACAGCTCAGGTCATGATCTCGGTCCTGGGATCGAGCCCCACATCAGGCTCTGTGCTCGGCAGGGAGCCTGCTTTCCCCGCTCTCTCTGCCTGCCTCTCTGCCTACTAGTGATGTCTGTCTGTCAAATAAATAAATAAAATCTTTAAAAAAAAAAGAATTTTGGGTTCTTTCTTCCTCCTACCCCACTCCTGCTTATATTTCCCCTGTTATTAAAAGTTACTTAAGAAACTCCTGTTAATGGTTGTATGATATGCCATTGTGGAATTTATAATGTGTCCAACCATTTAATAATTGCTGAAGCACCACACTACTTCCAGATCTCTCCACTATTATAGATAGGAGTGTAAATAAAATAGAAATTATAATAGGAGTGTAATAAAATAGAAATCATCAATTTTGGGGACACCTGAGTGGCTCAGTACATTGAGCATTCGACTAGATTTTGGCTCAGGTCACAATCTTGCGGTCGTGGGATTGAGCCCCGAGTTGGCCTCTGTGCTGGGCGTGGAGTCTGCTTCAAGATTCTCACTCACATGCATGCACTCTCTCCCTAAAATAAATAAGTCTTTTAAAAAAAGAAATGATCAGTTTTTAAGATTGGGTAATTTTCTTTAGTTCTATAGAACTTTGGAAATTGAAGGTATTTTTCTCAAATGTCAAGAGTATGCTGCATTTAATACTTTAAAAGTAATTTACTTGATAACAGTAATTGTGTTAGGATTGTAGAATTGTGGGTTCTCTACATTCTAAAATGCTTGTATTGCTTTATTACTCTTAACAGTTCAAGTAAATAGGAGGATGTTGAAACATGGCAGTATCTTTAATAAATTAAAAGGGCAGGATATGAAATGGAAGAGATATTTCGCTATGAATGTATTAAAGTAAACACATGAGGACTAAAAGGGACTGGGGTAGAAAACAATTTATTTTTTAAAAATGAAAGAAAATTATTTGGGAAATCCTGCCCCCTCACCATTTAAGTAGCTTTTGAGAGATATTGTCTCCAAAAATAAGCAGTGGTAATTTCTATGTAAAAATCGTAATACAATTCATTGAATTTGAAAAATGCTCTGTTTAGATGAAGATTATGGAAGAGATTCAGGCCCTCCAGCTAAGAAAATTCGGTCATCTCCCCGAGAAGCTAAAAATAAGAGGCGATCTGGAAAGAATTCACAGGAGGATAGGTAAGAGGCATTATTAATCTCTTCCTGTTTACATTGCCCCTCGGGAGGCGAGGGTGGTCTCTGATCTCTAAATTGGGGGAATCTCTGTTTACTTCGGGAAAGCGCTTACTGTCCCCTTCATATTGTTCTGCATATTTCTTCCTATCTCAGTCAATGCTTCTTGAGTCTAGCGGCTACGCTCTTTAATAAGGTCATGAGGTTTGCTTAGACTCAACCTGGAATTCAAGGTTGTCTCGGGGAATGCCTTTGTCACTACCTCCAACCTCTGAACATAAGCAGAGAGATTGTTTAAGTATGTAATTTGTTACCTAACGTTAGTATTGACGTTTTCACTGGAGCGATAACAGAATGAGTGATCTCTCCCATTCAGTCACCCAGCACTGGCAGAATCATAACTAACGCTTCTAGAATCTTAAGCCGTGTAGCTTGCTGCGTTTCACTGTGTATAATCAATTCTCCTTTGTTCGGAAACCTTAATCATTCGTGGGTTTGTTTTTGTTTTTGCTTTTGTTTTTTTTCCCTTTCCTTTAGTTTTATAAACAGGCTCACAGGTGTTGTGATTTTAACTGTAATTGCTTCATGAGACGAGGATATTGTGATTTTTGTCTCTGCTGTCACAGATCTACACACTCTCGATCTCAGTGCAGCCTAACTTGAAGACTGTAGTGATGGTGATGATCACTACCATGTATGATTCTCTGCCAGTCTCTGCTATGTGCTAACCTGTATTTATTATCATTTAATTCTCATAACACCTTTATTAGGGTAATAGCTTAGAGGAAGGTTTAGTGATTTATCCAGGGTTACCCTGCAAATGGATCAACAGGTTTGGGAACCATGTCTGTTAGGACTCCAAAGTCGTTTGAACCACTAGGCGATACTACTTCCAAATAATACTGTTAAATAGGAGAGTTCAAAGAAATGAAATCTTACCAGTTCTTCCAAGATACTTACCTTCAAGTACTAAAATCTTATAAAGCCCCACACAGAAGTCTTTCCATTTTTGAATTCGCAGGATGCTAAATTTGTAGAAATAACAGTATTTACCACCAATGTTTTCTTTCCTGGAAAATTTCAGAAACGTGATTTTGAGGGAAAATAAGACAAAATTGTGCTGTGGGGAGACAAGTCTTCCATGGTTTGTAGTGTATCTCTCTAATCCAGTTTTATATAGCAGCCCAACTTCAATTCTCTTTCATTATATTCATTTTTTATATTTTCTCTTAGGAATGAATTTCTCTGTCCCCTACTACCTGTTACAATGTCTCAACAATATAATGAATATCTAGCCTAAACTTTTCCTTGTTCTAATCATTTGGTTTTATTTTTCTTTCCTAAATGTCAAGAGTCTTTGAAATACAGTTTTTATTGCCATTTGTGTTAACTGCCTTGTATAGTTTATTTCATCAGACCGTTGTTGTGTTGAGTTTTTTATTGGTCTCTACTTAAAAGTTCAGCTTTTACTTGACTTTATTGTAATGGGACTCAAGGAATAATGGTCTCTATAAACCCGATAATAAGAGAACTAGAGAACGTAATAGTTCTTCGGCATTGTGACTTGTGAATTAAGTGATTATTTTTGCATGAAAACATCTGGAACAGCCCCAGGTTTCAGAATTACAGTGTGTCTTAGATTGTTTAGTAAAGTATATTTGGTTTTTCTCTTTGTTCAGGAATCTTGGGTTTGGTAGTTTGTCATTTGAGTGTGGTCTAGATTACAGGAAATACCAAAAGAGATTTACAAGTCTTGCTGTTTGAAAAAGCTGTGAAGGCAGTTTTTACGTATGAGTGTTTCTGTTTTTGTTTGTTGGAATTTCTCATTGAATCATAAAATTTTAGCACTGAAGAGTACCAAGTGATTTGCTTGAGATCATACAAGTAATTAATGACAAAGAACGCTTGAACCCAGATTCTTGAGTTAAGATTTGTGAGAACATAAAGTGCCTTTAAAAAACTGTTCTATAAAACTTTCCATTGACCTTTAAAGCACCTTCTTATTTTTTTTAAGGATTTTATTTATTTATGTGACACACAGAGAGGGAGCACAAGCCGGGGGGAGTGGCAGGCAAAGGGAGAGGGGGAAGCAGGTTCCCCACCAAGCAGGGAGCCTGATGTGAGGCTTGATCCTAGGACCCTGGGATCATGACCTGAGCCAGAGGCAGACGCTTAACCAACTGAGGAGCCTGTGAAGCACCTTCTTTTATTATTTTACTTTGCAGTGATCTTGAGCTGACTTTTATTTTCTCCATGGTACAGGGCAGGTCTGTGTGTTGGTGTTTCTGATATATTAGAAATATTGGAGGCAAAAAATATAAGGAGATAGTTAGTTGACTTATTTTCATTTTGTTTCAGATAAATTTTTAAGGCTATTGTAATTCATATAATTGCACTCCAATTTCCTTTAATAATTGTGTTCTAGGTGTTTTTTCCATCTGTAATCGGTGCTATCCATTTAATTGCCTACTTTTGCACCATTCACACATTGTGTAATTTACTTTTTGTATTTTTATACTCCGCCTCTGACAACAGAGATTTTTTTTTTAAAGATTTTATTTATTTATTTGACAGGCAGAGATCACAAGTAAGCAGATAGGCAGGCAGAGAGAGAGAGAGGAGGAAGCAGGGTCCCCGCAGAGCACAGAGCCCAATGTGGGGCTCGATCCCAGGACCCTGGGATCATGACCTGAGCCGAAGGCAGAGGCTTTAACCCACTGAGCCACCCAGGCGCCCCGAGAATTGTTTTTTTATTACTAAATGTTCCTGTGAGGGGTGACTGGGTGGCTCAGTCGGTTAAGCGTCTGCCTCTGGCTCTGGTCATGATCCCGAAATCCTGGGATCAAGCCCTGCCTCGGGCTCCCTGCTCAGTGGGAAGCCTGCCTCTCCCTCTCCCTCCACGTGCCACTTCCCCCTGCTTGTGTTTTCTCTCTCTCTCTCTCTCTCTCTGTGTGTCAAATAAATAAATAAAACCTTAAAAAAAAAAGTGTTGTTGTAAACCAGGCTTTATCCACAGGTGAGACATTTTCAGCCCATGTTTGAGATACCTTCTTTTTTTCCTTTGGGTCTTTGGAAGCAGTATTTTCCAAAAGTAGATCAAATTGTGTTTAGTCATTAGCATCCCTGTCAAGTTAGGGAAATAACAGAAGCCGTTTCAGTCCTCCGGTATCTGTTTGAATATTTCCTCTACAGAAGAGGTGTTCTTTACCTGTCAGAGACACTGGGGATCTGTGTTCACTTAGATTTTGATCTAAGACTTTTAAACTTTTCCCGTCTTTCCCTTTCTAGCGAGGACTCCGAAGAAAAAGATGTGAAAACCAAGAAGGACGATTCTCACTCAGCAGGTAGTAAACAGTTTTTAATGTAATATGTCATTGATCTATGTCTTCGTTCATTGGATGTTTTAATAAGTGGTTTCATAATAATGCCGGGCACTGCTGTCAATACTGGCAAGACGAAGCGCTTTCTATCTTTGAAGAGCAAAGAACTTTGAAGTGCTGGTGGCTTACTGCAGTCTCCTGTAAGGGTTTTTCTGAACGGGCTTACACGCTCTGTCCCACCCCAAGATTTCTGATTTAGTAGGTCTCAGTGGGACACTGGGGCTTTATTGTTTAAAAATATTTACAGATGATTTTCCTGCATAATTAACATTAAAAACCATTTAAGTGGGGCGCCTGGGTGGCTAAGATGGTTGGGCATCTGCCTTTGGCTTGGGTCATGATCTCCAGGTCCTGGGATCGAGCCCCATGGTGGGCTCCCAGCTCAGTGGGAAGTCTGCTTCTGCTTCTCCCTCTCCCTCTGCCTCTCCCCCTGCTTGTGCTTTCTCTCTCCATCTCTGTCTCTCTAGCTCTCTCAAATGAACAAATAAAATCTTAAAAAAAAATTTTATGTGAACCGTTAACAGATATCAAACTAAACTGATTTTAAAAAGCATATAAAATACAAAGTGATGTAACACTCTAAAATGGGGAGGGGGGTGGAGATGAACTCTGGGGTAAAGAGCAAGCAAAGGCTAGTTTCACCCTTCCCTGTTCCAGCTGGCAAGTAGTCCTTCGAAACAGTAGCCGCAGAGAAAGCTTTCTTGGTAAGAATTTAAACTCAAAAGAATTAATAGAGACTCCATGGCAAATAAAATGTTAAATCCTGATTGCTTGTTGGCATTTCTGTTTCTGAATTTAATTCTTCGCAGTACTGAGGGTTTATTTTAGTTTTGACCTGCACTCCCCTGCTTTTGTGTCCTGCGTCCCCCTTTAAATGAGATCACTGTTATGAGCTGATACATGGAGGGGTAGACAGAGTTCCACTGAATTCACTCCACTGAGCTGTTTGCTTTCATTCCTTTTTTAGCCTGTTATCTGCCTGCCTAAATTGTAAAGAAACGTGTTTTATAACTTAGAATAGTATCATTGGAAGACAGTCTTCCCCTCTTCTATTTAAAAATATTTTTCTAGGGACGCCTGGGTGGCTCAGGGGGTTAAAGCCTCTGCCTTCAGCTCAGGTAATGATCCTGGGGTCCTGGGATCGAGCCCCGCATCGGGCTCTCTGCTCAGCAGAGAGCCTGCTTCCCCCCATCTCCTTCTGCCTGCCTCTGCCTGCTTGTGATCTCTGTCTGTCAAATAAATAAATAAAATCTTTAAAATAAATAAATAAGTAAAAATAAAAATACAAATACTTTTCTAGGGGCACCTGGGTGGCTCAGCTAATTAAGCGTTCAACTCAGGTCATGATCTCAGGGTCTTGAGATCAGGGTCCCCGAGTCTGAATGGACCCTGCTTTAGATTGCCTCTCTGCCCTTGCTGCCTCCACCCACCCCCGTGCCCCCCACCTGCCCCACCCCCACTCATGCATTCTCTCTCTCCAAAAATTCTGGCTTTAGTTTCTAAAAACTGTGAATATAGATTGAAATATAATTGATAATTTTAGGGCAACACAGTGATACAAGTTTAAAATACATTACAGGAAGCATATATTCACACCTAAATTCAGCTTTATGACTACTTAAAACTCCATGCCTATGCTATTTTTCTGTGCAGTAATGAGGACATAATCTTTCTCAAGTTCATTCTTTGTATTTTAGCTCCTCTTTTGTATATTTTGTAGGCATTTTTAAGGATAGACTTTACCCCATTTGAATGAAATAAAGCTGCAGGTTCTGTCTCATACTGACTTTTCTAGTCAGCCTTCCGATAAACACACAACTCCTTGATCACTGCGTTGTAACTTTGATATTACAGAGGACAGCGAAGATGAAAAAGAAGATCATAAAAATGTACGTCAGCAACGGCAGGCAGCCTCTAAAGCAGCTTCCAAGCAGAGAGAAATGCTCATGGAAGATGTAGGCAGCGAAGAAGAACAAGAGGAAGAGGACGAGACGCCATTCCAGGAGAGTACGTGCCGCTGGCTTGGTACTTGGGTGGGGACCAGAGTTCGTGACCGTGACCTTGATTACTTCTGCATTCTTGTGGCTGCCAAACGTTACAGCCAGTCCCTTAAATTCGGTATTTGCTGTCAGAAGAGATGGCTCTTTTGATACTGGTTGATATTTTAAGAGGCTCAGGGATTCTCTTGATTTTGATGTCCATCGTTGGAACTCAACTACTAAACCAGCAATCGTTAGAATAACAGTTACATGGCGTGTGTTGTGATGAAGATTTGTCTTTTGGCTTCGGAGCCAAAGGGGTAGACCTCCTCCCCCAGCAACAACAACAAAAAAGTGTTAGTAGCAGAATTTAGGTGTTTCACACGTTACTTGGATTAATAAATTGTATGGTTTTTGCTTTGTCTTTAGCTTTCTCGTTTCATTTATTCATACTTGGACCAAAGACACTAAATTGGTTCTGTTTGATTTCCCTGGTCACCCCAGTAATGTAGGGGAAAGAGGGAACTACCAAAAGTTGTTTGATGAAAAAAAAAGTTCGGTGATATCTTCAGTTTTTATTCATATTAAGTTTTATATCTTCCTGTTTTCAACCGACTCTTTAAACAAGTCAGTTATGCAGCTTGTGTGTGTGTGTGTGTGTGTGTGTGTGTGTGTGCGCATGCGCGCGCATGTGCACTAAGCCCCGCCCTACATGTGGGGCTGGTGAGGACTCCAGCCCGACCGGCGACCCAGCTGCCCCCAGACTCCGAGAGTGTTTGACTCCCAGATCCCATCCTCCCGTCATGCTTAGCGCTGTCTCCCTTCATTCCCTTGGAAGGATGTATACATTAAGTTGGACGTTGAACTTCTTCTTTCCTCTCAGAAGATTCCGGCAGTGATGAAGATTTCCTAATGGAAGATGATGATGATAGTGACTATGGCAGTTCAAAAAAGAAAAACAAAAAGATGGTCAAGAAGTCCAAACCTGAGAGAAAAGAAAAGAAAATGCCCAAACCCCGGCTAAAGGCCACAGGTGAGTTGTCTACAAGTACAGTTAAATGGCTGCTTTGAAAAATTTCAAGGAGCAGTAAACTTTCTCTACAGAAATCCGTCATTAGGCCTTGGCATTGACCACACGCCTCACAAGAATAAGAATTCTGCGAGGATCCCATCTTCCACACTGGCAGGGATCTCTTACTTGTTAGGAAGGACAGTGGCCCCTACAAGAGTCTGGCGGTGTGGCACAGGGTTTGCAGCAACCTGTTGCCCGGCGGTAGAAACACTCCAATAGTAGAGCTGTGCCTGTGCTTTTTCCTGCCCATATCACAACCCCAACAACTAGGAAAGACCTGAAAGGGGAAAATGCACACCCGTAATCACAGATTTCAGGTCTCCGATCTGATCCTTACCCCATCCTTTCTGCTAGAATAAAACCACACTTAGCAGCGTGGATTCATTTTCTTGGAGCCATTGTGAATGCTGCCAGTCTCCTAGTCACAGCTTGAAATCAGAAAGCTAGATTTGCTTTGTTGTTTTTTTTTTTTCTGACAGAACTGGTGATTTTTTACATTTTTCACTCATTACTTCTTACTGCTGGGAATCACGGGATTGTCAAAAGTGACTTGAGGAGGGCACCTGACTGGCTCAGTGGTAGAGCATGCGACTCTCGATCTCGGTTGTGAGTTCGAGCCCCGTGTTGGGCATACAGTTTACTTTAAAAATAAATAAATAAATAAATGACACATCCTTGGAAGAAAAGTTTTGAAAAATCTGATGACTTCAGTTTCTACTCACGTTGTATCCATGCTTTTTGACCCGCCTTTTTTTTTTTTTTAATTTTTTTTGACCCACTTGTTAAACCTGAGTTTTATCATAAACAACCTGTGTTCACAAACCACTAAGCATAGTACGCAGTTTCTGTAGCATCCTGTTTCTTTATTGTAAACATCACTGCTAACACAGCACCATAGTGTTGGCAAGAGTGATTGGGAACCAGTGCCCACCTTGATTTGTCGTCAATTGGGCTGTGATCCTTATAGATTTAATTCTTTTTTCTTTTTTTTTTAAGATTTTATTTATTTATTTGACACAGAGAGAGAGAGAGATCACAAGTAGTCAGAGAAGCAGGCAGAGAGAGGAGGGGAAGCAGGCTCCCTTCCGAGCAGAGAGCCCGATGCGGGGCTCGATCCCAGGACCCAGAGATCATGACCTGAGCCGAAGGCAGAGGCTTTAACCCACTGAGCCACCCAGGCGCCCCTATACATTTAGTTCTTAGAGTTTTGTTTTGTTGCCGATTTTTTTTTTTTTTTTGAAGGTCTTTTTTTCTCTTCCCCATGTTGGTATTTTTCTTCTTCCAGTGACGCCAAGCCCTGTGAAAGGCAAAGGGAAGGTGGGGCGCCCCACAGCTTCAAAGGCATCAAAGGAAAAGACTCCTTCTCCCAAAGAAGACGACGAGGAACCAGAGAGCCCTCCAGAGAAGAAGCCCTCGGCAAGCCCTCCACCTGAGAAATCAGGGGACGAAGGGTCGGAAGATGAAGCCCAGTCTGGGGAGGATTAAAAAAGTGATGATGGTTTGGGGAGAGATTTTATTAAAAAAAAAAAAGAGAAAAAAGAAAAAGGGGGGAAAAAAAGAAAACCTACTTAAGATAGAACATGGTTTTGGCTATGGCTTGACTCATGGGCTTTCAGTGCTTTTTTCCTTTTCTTGAAAATAACGTTCTCTCTATCTTTTTAAGAAAACCATTGTAAGTTTAATTTACCTTCTTGTCTGTTGGTCCTCTCTCTGCCATCACCCGTCTTTCCCACCCCTTCCCAATGAAAGCCATGTCAGAATAATCACTGGATTGACTGCTTCACCTTTTTATTTTTAACGGAAGGTATACCACAGTTGTAAAGCAATAAGATTTGAGATGAACACTACGGAAATTTTGCTCTTTTGCTAAATGGTAGAAAATGAACCGTAATCAAAAAAAACCTAGAAGGGTTTTAGTTTAAAATGATTGCTTCTCTCTCTACCTGGACTTAAAAATCAGCTGTCATCTAATACAAGTTTATATGTCTATATACATAGGTATAGATGTCTAAAAAAATCATGATGTTAAACTTCCCACTGATGGGGCAGGTAGGACAGAAAGATGAATTCTGAATTGTTACTAAAAGTATTCCTATTTTTTATCTTGGGGGCAAGGCAGGGCATGGTGTTACCTGACCTTGTTTGAGGGTGTGGTTTTTTGTTTTTTGGGGTTTTTTTTGTTTTGTTTTTTGGTTTTTTTTTTTTGTAAATTTCACCACTTGTTATCTCAAAGAGACCCGGAGCCAGTAATCCTTTTATCCTGCTACAGTCTTTCAGGAACTTAAAAAAAAAAAAAAAAGCAAGGGCCACCAAAACTTAAATCAGTCTTGATTTCCTATTTCATTCTCTAATGGTTCATGTTTTTAAGTATATATGTATCTATTCTGTTTCTTGGATAAAATTACCAAGGATCAAAAAAAAAAAAAAAAAAAGACAAAAACCTTTAGGATTTAAACAGCAAGATCTATACACCAGAGTGGATTTCTTCTTAACTGACAATGTTTAGGTTTTAAGCAAATAAAGTACCAATTAATGTGAAACTCAATCACAAAGACTTGAGATTTTTCCTTTATGAAAACAGAAAATTGAAATTCTTTATGCCAAAAATGTGCATTCCGATCCCATGAACCATGCTCTGTTTTTATTTGGGGATAGAACATTTTTCTTTTCACATACCTATCCTCCCACTTCTTTGTAGACACATGCAGTGCATCTCCGCTTCCTGCTCCTACGTAGGGTCCCACTGCATACCCCATCCCCAGAGCCCGCCAGCTCTGCTCTGGGACATGATTTCCCCCAGCTCTCTCCTTTGCTCCCTTCACGTTCTGTGCTTGACTAAGAGGGAGTGTGGTAAATGGCCACTCCCACACCCTTCAGTTTGCTTTTGTCCCTCTCCTTGTGCCCCTGCTTTCCTGCTCGCCTTGCTTAAAGCAGAAGTTCCAGGGGCTCCAGGCCAGGGAGACCATGTAGTTAGGAGCCCATGTGCTGCTGAGAACAGACTGTACATGCCTTACGAAAGTAATCGGGAGATAGTTCTGTAGGTTTGATCCTCCACATCCTGATAACCACGAGCTCATGGGAGCAAGGGTTAGGGGGCTTAGTGTGCTAATATGTTGAAAAAAAAATAGTGAAATTTAACCTCTGCCTTCTTACGTAGGTGTGCTGCTTCGGTATCTTAAGCGGTTTTCTTTCTGTCTCTTATGTTAGAGCATGTTTTTCTCTCAGACCACGTGGCTTTCTTGCAGATGTTCCTAGGACAAAAGGTTATTTAAGGAATATTTTTACTCTGATTTTTAAGACACTTTAAAGACTGTCCTTACTCTGTGACTTTTTAAAAATAACACCCAGTGGCAGAGTCATTTCACTGTTGCACACTTGCGTGTGTCAGAGAATGAATTTGGAGACTTTAGTACTTGGCCAAAAATGCGAAACTTGAACGTATGTTGCAGTTGGATTATTATCTTTCATGATGGTTAACTTTAGAGTTGTGAACTTTGTAATGAGGGGGATAAAGATTATTCTATTTGCTTTAGTGGGTTTTCGGGTATCCAATTTTAACAAGAACGTTCATGTTCATCTAGTAACAAAAGACCTCTCAGTGTTTCCACCATGCACTTCTGTTTTTAGGGGTTTGTAACTTTTAAGTCCTACATTCCTAGTAACATTTAGACTTTTCTTAGATTATGTTTCGTGAAGATAGGGGGGCGGGGGGGTCTTTTAAAACTTTAGCCTCGGTATTTTATGTAACTTGGTCTCTTTAATATGTTAATCTGCACTAACATCTCCGTGATACACACTCATTCTTTAGAGGTAATCCTGTCTTCTAGGTGACTTGTGTGCATTTGGTTGAGATCCCTTTTTTAAAAATTAATTCATGAGATCGAAAAATGTCTTCTATATTTCTAATGGACTAGACAAAAGGATCTGTGTACCCAAGTGAGACAGGCTCTGAATGACCTTTGTTTTCTCCACTTTTTATTGATGATTGAAAACTCTCTGGTCTTCCCCTCCAATCATGCAAGCATGCAGGAGGACAGCTGTGGTGTCTCAACTGGAAATAGGTGCTCAATAGGCTTGATGGATTGCGACATCAGGACCGGGTCACAAGCTAGAAGCTGACAGTGACTGGCCATTGGCACCACCCTTGACTCAACTCCCGTTTCTCCCTCTAGCGTGCCTATGGTGAAGTGGCAAGAGCGTCACTCACGGTCTTGTTTGCAGTGCTCAGGAAGTGGGATGTTCACTGGCAAGGTGCTTGTTTGTGGTACCTGATTTCTCTTAGCTCTTAGATTTACCTCTGGAACATGGATCTCAGCTGCTATGCTGACTGACACTACATTCTTAACATTCTGTATTTCCAGACGTCCCCTCCCCAACATCCACAGCTAGAAATGGGTAGCTTAGATCTTAAATCCATAACTTGCTGCTGCTTTTAGCTCTCCCCACTTCAGATTGGAATCAATGGAGCGGCCCCCCCAGGATGCCTGTCAATTTCAGCCATAGTAGGTTTGTCCTGCTTTCTGAAACATCTCTCCCTTTCATAGCCCCACCCCCTATGGCGTCCCTGAAGGGAAATTAATGGGTGTGCCCTTTAGGGAGGTAAAGGTGGGAGGGTTTCCCTCCGGAAGAAGAGTAGTTGATTTCCCCACCAAGGAGCTTGGATACTGTCCCCCTCCCCGCTGCCACAGTAATTGGTTGGCTCCATTTCAATTCTCAGTTCATACTTATCCTTGGCACAAGTTGAAAGAGCATTTTTTACAGGTAACAAGTCAAGGTGGAATTTGAGGTTATAATCCAGTAAATGACACTTGTGAATATGGTCCGCTAGACTGAACTTGATGCCTTAAAAAAAAAAAAAAAGTTTCTTCGTTTATCCAGGAACATACAAGTATCAAGTGGATTTTGGCTGACTGGTTGGGAGAAGGAGGTGCTTTTCTTTAAACCAGTTTAGGAGATGCTTTGAGAGTAGTAGGTAGTCGAGGGCAGAATTTACCAGGAGCAACAAGGAAAGCTTTTTATAAAAGATCATGTGGCCATCGTTGCTGTTCTAAAGAGTGGGGGGTTGGATTTGACCAGTTCTTTCTGTTCCTGGATGACCAGTAGCTGCACAGTGAAGAAACTGTCCCCTTAGGAGTTTGGGAAGAGCAAAACCTGGGCTCTGCTCTTTCATGGCAGTCAGACAGATAACTTCAGCAGAACAAGTTAATAGACATTTCCTGCCACAGGATGGGGAAGATATAACAAGCTGTTTGCTCTTGGGGTCAGAAAATTGTCCTCTCTGCGCATAGAGCTGGGTTTATTAGAAAAGGGACTTAGTTTGAATATTGGGACATCAAGCTATCTATAGCCAAATTTCACTCTGCAACCCATTCTCCCTTCATCTTGGGATAACCTTGATACAAAATGACTCTCTGAATCCCAAATCCCTAAATTACACCTTTTTCAAAGCCTAATTCACAAAATTCACAGTGGTGCTGACTGTATTAACCACTATTGGGAAAAGTCCTGTCAACCTGCCTGTTGCCATGCCAATGGGGGGAACTGAGCGGATGACATCTGAGCTGGTGGAATGCCACCATTGTGCATACACTTTGTACATCAGGGGTGAAGGGAGGGTTTTCTAGATTTATGGGGGGAGGGTAAAATTGGTGGGTTTTTTTTTTTTTTTTGGTTGTTCCTTTTTCAATGGGTGTAGGGGTATAGTACTCAGCTTATGCCCTAAATAACATGTATAACCCCCGCCCCCGAAGTATTGTGTGTGTGTGTGTGAGTGTGTGTGTTTGTATGTGTCTGGCAGTAAACTTTTGTCTTCGGGAAATTAGTGAATTCTTTTCTTCTTTTCCTCCAGAAGTATTTGTTAAAAGATTTGTAAATAAGAGCTCTTAAGTAGAGTTTGTTTACCATGAACAAGTTGCAGCAAACCTTATACACCTAATTCAAGCAAGATTTAAAGAAAGACTTGACGACTTGCCAGGTTAAGCAGCAGCCAAGTTCTCAGTAATTGTTTGCCTTGATTCATCTTTCAGACTTCGTTTTGGCCATCTCTAAAACTCCCAGTCTTCCTTGATTTTAGTTCTTAATCTTCTGTGTTCTGAGCAGGAAGGATTATAGAGAGGAACCTGTTTAAATGTATTTAATTAGTCCATGGGCTGAGACGGGGGGCATCCCTTTCTTAATACGACAGTGTTGCTGGGTCCATGATCAGACGCCAGGGGACGGGCATCCTTGTGATACCTTCACGGTGCTGACATCTGCAGCATGGTACTAAGGAAGTTCAAGTTTGAATGTAACCACTTTATTTAAAAGATTTTTTTAATTTAAATGAAATGAGGTTGAAGTGAACATGATTTTGTTGACCATGTTCGTGAATTATAGATGCAACGTGCATTGGTAGACTTGTGTGATGGTCTTTTGTGACACTTAATTTTTACATATCCCAGTCTCTGTATGTATCTGCATAGACAAAGAAAAAACAAACTCCTGCTTTCTTTTACTGAAGGGTCTCCAGGACTGCGTGTCTGCGCCT